TTTTTTTTTTAAATATACTTAGTAAAGCACGTTTAAATAAAATCACATTGCTTTATAGTATGAAAAAATGACCCTGCCCACCCATCTTTTACCAGTAGTGTTTTTATACTTCTCACTGTAAACTTGAGAAATTTAGCTCTGAATCAGCTTTTTAGGGCTTCTCAGGTTGGGGTAGGGGAGTGTCATAAGGCCGACTAACCAGAATCACTGTTCCTTTCACATTTTGGGAGAAACACAGTGATTATACTTAAAATGATTTTTTTTAGCTGCAATAACAATCAGGCTGTTATGTAACACTTCGGACCTGAAATATCAGCTTTTGTCAGTGACCTGATATCTGCTTGTGCTTAGCTTCCGAGAGTGATGAGTACCATCCCATGCCTGGATGTTGTAGTGTTTCCCATCCTAAGGGGGAGAATGTCACCCCAGAAATGGCCCAGTGAAAGCATTTCCCCCCTTGTCTTTCTGTCTCTTGGAAAAATAAATAAATTTTATTTTTTTCTTCATTCAGAAACAAAGCAAGCCATATTCCTTTCCAAATTACATGAATAAATCACATTTGCACAAAGGAACCCCTCCCCTTCCAAATGTGTACATTTCGATAAGGGTATACCAGTTATTCAGTGTTTTTGTTATTTTTTTTTTTAAAGATAGAGTGAGAGAGAGAGAGAGAGAGAGTGTGTGTGTGTGTGTTAACTGTTTTCAGTTCTTCATTTGGGTTTCTTATTATTTTCCAAGGTTGTGGAATATGGATCTAAAAAAGAGTAGATAATTGTGGTTTTGAAGCTTGTGTCTTGGACTAGATGCAGCTAAATGAAAACAATGTGCAGATCACTGAATAGGTCAGACTGAGGGGACTCGGAACCTTTGAAGCTTTACAGGGTTTGACCTAACAACAACTGCGGGGCCCTTACGGGAAAGAGGAATTAACTCTGTGAATGCCATCAAAATACAACCCTGGGGGGGAAAAAAGAAAAAACTCGATTGGAGTTGGTTAGATAAAATAACTTCCCCATTCGGAACATTATGAGCAGTTATTTTATGTCTTATATATGCCTTTAAAAAAATTCAGGTTTGCCCCAGAGTGACTGAACCCCCTATTCAAGTCAAGTCAAAAGTAAGGTCAGCACAGTTATGTCATTTTGACAGATAACCGGTTGGGCTTAAATACTAGCCTTTTAAGCTTCAAGACTTGTTTGGGTGTTTAAAAAGTAATGTGGCATGTTAATAATTTGCAACTTCAGATTCTGTTTACTGTTTGAATAAGCCCTTGTGGTTGAAACAGGAAACCAAGTAATATAGGGAATTTAATTAATATTGCCATTTGTATGGACTGGAACAATAACAACCATGTTCCCTTAAATTATCTCTGATGAAATGCACTCAACTTCTCCACATTTTGGAAAGTCTAAAGAATGGTGTTGCAGAATTTTCTCCCTGACATAAGGTTATGAAAGATGATGATGACTGCTTTACCAGCTGCAGAGATCAGGAATTAGAACAGAGCTTTTTAAAGAAAAAAAAAATTTTCCTTTAAAACAGTAAAATAAAACAACTTTTGTGTAAGCTTAAGTAGACTTATTGATTACACACACAGCTTAGTCTTTTGTTTTAAGAGGAGGAGGTACTTTAAGAAAACACTCCCACCCTCCAGCATGTTATGTACACATAGGCATACAATTAGACGTGCCCAAAAAAGTTTCATAAAATTTTCTTACTGCATGCCCACCATGTGTGTATTCCAGACAGGCTTGACAGTATGCCAAAGCCTTTTATTTTGTGGGCCGACTTTTAATCTGTTCCAGACCTTTTCACTCAGAGAGCTCAAGTGTAACTGAAGGGGGCAGGAAACAAAAAAATATGTGGGTTTCTCTGATCTAGAGTGACAGCAAATAGAGACAAGCTGTTAGCTGCTGGATTTGAAGTTTTCCTTGAAATCAGAAGTTCTGTATAGTGGATTATGTTTTATTTCTGCCAAAGGAATATAAACTATCCCCTTATTTCTGACCCTTTGGGCCATACAAACACAAACAAATGGTGTAGGATGTTGTTTTCATGGTTGTGGAGTTTGCTTTTCTATATTCTTCAAATCTATTAAAATGTTTATCAATTTGTAGCTTAAATTAAGTAGATGTGTGTCTTTTGGCGTCTTAGAGTGGGAGCTAAGCTCCTTAGAGAAGCTTAAAAATTTTACCTCCTTCAAACATTAGCCCCTTTTATGTTTCTATTTATCAGATGATTTCAGATTAATTATATTTAGAATACAGTCATTTGCTTTAAGATTAACCTTATTTAGTAAATACACTTATTTGCTGCATAACGTTTCCGTCAGTGGCAGACTGCATGTACAATCATGGTCATGTATGATTATAATACTGTGTTTTTACTGTACCTTTTCTGTGTTTAGATACACAAATACTTAACATTGTGCTACAGTTGCCTACAGTTTTTGGCACAGTAAGAGGCTGTACAGTTTTGTAGTCCAAAAGCAATAGGCTCTACCTTACAGCCTATGTGTGTAGTAGACTATACCATCTAGGTTTGTTTAAGTACACTCTAAGATGTTTGCACAATGACAGAATTGTCTAATGATCCATTTCACAAAATGTATCCTGATTACTAAGTAACACATGACTTTATAGTAATTTATCAGTCCTTAACATCTCACATGAAATTAGTAAGTTATGTAATTTTAGGGAATCAAAGTAATTTGTTTTGGAATGGGATTTTTATCTGATTTTTTTTGTTGTTGTTCTTTAACATGTAAAAGCTATTTCTTTAATTAATTTTAATTTTTTAGAGAATTTACTAGTAATTTATAACAAGTCCTGAAGTAGCATCAAATGGCAATAAGGATGTACTGATGTTTATTGAGTTTTAAGAAAAAGAGAACTTCTTTGGGTTTTTTTAAGGGGTCATATTAGGAATGTTTTTACCTCTTTGTTCAAGAAAATGGATCCTTGAATATAATGCAAGCCATTAAATTATTTCATATAAGCACATAGGAGATGATTTTTTTTCCTGGAGATTTTGTACTGGCAAACATGAAGAGTCTCAGTTTAAACATTACCTTGTGTATCATCGATCTATTATTTTATATAATATAATCACAGACATATTCCAGTAAAATGCCTAATGAAAACACAATGAAATTATAATTGCAGTTCAAAATTTAAAAAGATCTTTAAAACACAAGCAGTTGATGAACCAATCTTTTAAGTAATGTTATTGTCCCTATTGTTCATATAATAAGATATATTAAAGTCTGTGTTTTAGAAAATAAGTGCTGATGGCACCACTGGGATAAAAATATTTGGTATAAACAAAATATTGAAGCCAGAGAGTTAGAGAAAAATTATACCTTTGAATTTTAAAGCAAGTAATAAACAGCTTAGAGTGACAGAAGCAGAATATTTAATTCCTAACTATATCTCTATGCACAGAAATTCTGTGTGTAGAAATTTCAGAGATATTAAACCTCATATGTTGATTTTGGGTCCTTGGTTTCAGTTTCCCAAAACTTGCTATCTGTGTATATCCATACACTTTATGTGTGTGTGTGTGTATTATAATGTCTTGAAATAAATAAAAGAATAGATAAAATGCAAATACCTATATACAGTTTATTAAAATAAAACTAAAGCCAAAAGTTGTTCAGATATTTTTCTCATCAAAGTTAAATATTTTGCATTAATTATCTATTAAAATTTTGAGGTAGTCATTAACGTTTTTTTAAGCCAAATATTTCTGTTAGATGTTATAAATAATGTTTTCCTTTTGATGAAAGTGCACCTAACTACCAATTAAATAACTAAGAATCCGTCCTATTAGTGTTGGGGAAAACCACTGAAGCTTCTAGAAACCAAATTTGTAATTTCATTAATGGAGTCTTGGGTAAAGAGAATGTCAGCATCTAATTATTTGAATTTCATCAAAGCAAGTTTCTTGATAGCCATACGCTAAAAGTAGGGTTTTTTGTTTTGTTTTGAGGTTTTAGGCTTTTTTCTCCTTACCACCTTTTTAAAGTCTGTCCTGGTGATCCGTATTTGGTTATGGACTACATTAATTACTTAGGGTACAGAGGAATGGATGTATGTTTTAGGTAAAAAGAGCTATTGTTAACTAAAAATTATTGACAGATGTCCAGGTACGATGGTTCATGCCTGTAATCCCAGCACTTTGGGAAGCCATGGTGGATGGATTACTTGAGGACAGGAGTTCGAGAAAAGCCTGGCCAACACAGGGAAACCCCATCTCTACTAAAAATAGAAAAAAAAAATTCAGAGTAGTGGCGCACAGTTGTAGTCCCAGCTACTTAGGAGGCTGAGGCATGAGAATCACTTGAATCTTCGAGACAGAGGTTGCAGTGAGTAAAGATCATGCCACTCTACTCCAGCCTGGGCAACAAAGTGAGACTCTGTCTCAAAAAATTAAAAATAAGCGTTAGTAACATGCTGGACACAGTGGCTCACACTTGTAATGCCATCACTTTGGGAGGCCAAGACAGGCAGATCACTTCAGGTCAGGAGTTCAAGACTAGCCTGGCCAACATGGTGAAACCTGTCTCTACTAAAAATGCAAAAATTAGCCAGGTGTGGTGGCACACGCCTATAATCCCAGCTAATCGGAAGGCTGAGGCACTGAAAATCACTTGAACCCAGGAGGCAGAGGTTGTAGTGAACTGAGATAGCACACTGTATTCCAGCCTGGGAAACAGAGCAAAACTCCATCTCAAAAGCCGAGGCTGGTGAATCACAAGGTCAGGAGATTGAGAGCATCCTGGCCAACATGGTGAAACCCCGCCTCTACTAAAATATAAAAATAAGCAGGCATGGTGGGATGTGCCTGTAGTCCCAGCCACT